TAAAAAATATTTCCTCATTTTTTCAACAAGATACTTAATTCCAAGTAACTGAAATTAAAATTTTTTTATTAATATATTAAACCAAAAACTAAAATTAAAAACTAAAAATTATTAACAAACATCCAAAATTAAGAATTAAATTTAGGATTAAAGTGAAAAACTAATTAAGTTTGAAACTTAAATTAAATKGAAAATTTAGTTTTTAATACTATAATCAGAATTTAAAACTTAATTTCAATACCAATAGCTTAGAAAAATCCCAACAACGGCATTAAGTCTTGAAAATTGAAATTATAATTTCAAAATTAGATTTAAAAAACTCACAACCTTGCATTAAAATTATATTTTTCGGAATCTTTTGTAAAATTTTGCTTTTTTATTAAATTTATTTTATAGTTTGGTTATAATGGCACTAATAGCAGTTAAGTTCTCTGTGTTCTAAATATTTCATATCAGTGTTTCTTTATGAACATATATACAAATTTGTTTAAAAAACACTAATATATGTATTTACCTAAGTATGTATGTATATATGTATGGTTAAGCCATAATTCGATATCGAAAAGGAAAACTAAAAACGCAGTTATAACCGACGGCTGGAATATTTTTTTTTTTTTGAAAAAATACCTAAAATGACAAAAATTACAAAACAACAAAGCTGTTTAAGTGAAAAACTCACTGAAAAGAAAATTTTACTTTGTTCAAAATAATAAGCAATTTTGATATAAACTTAGTTATACGATTATAGCAACATATAATTCCTTAAAAGTGCAAACTGAGCACATTCATTTTCAAAATAATGCTCATATAAACAATAATACATGCATATTTTAACAATAGCTCGCATATTTAGCTTTTCTTTTGTGTAAGTATTCAAGTTAAATGCAATTTATAGCAACTTTGACGGTTATAGCTAACGTTTTACGCCTATTTTTCTTAAAAATCGGCGCCAATTTCGAATGATTTTTTGTACGAAATTTTGAATTCCGAAAAAATAACTGTATATGCTGTACGATGCTCTTATATGATAAACAGTAGTGTTTAGTTAAAATATTGGGTCTAGCTTTCGTATCAACATAGAAACATATACATATATACTTAGTATATACATATATATTTTAACAAGTATTCCGCTTGGAGTATATAACGTAGCTATGTACATATACAGGTATGTATGTACACACGTGTGTTAGCAGTTAATGCTAAAGCCTCCAAATAGTTTTCTAAAACATTGCTGAGTGGAAATGTTTAAAATATTATTATTTTATGACAATATAAAAAAAAAATATTTTTAGGTTATAAAAATAGTAGGCTATAAAGTAAATTTTTGTGTTATAAAACTTTTCGATTATGAAGATATATTTTTCAGGTCATAAAATTGTTTGTAAAAAATAACATTTTTAGGTTATAAAAAATCATATTTCGGCTAAACAATAATTTTTTGGGTCATAAAAACAGTTTTGGATTAAAAAAAAATTAGGTTAGTGAAAAACATATTTTCGGTACTTCAAAAAACATTTTTTTTACTCTTCTAGGTTAAATAAAACACTTTTTAGCCAAACAAAAAAATATACTAGCTTATAAAAACCAGTTTTGCTTAAAAACAAGCATTTTAGGTGCTAAAAAAAAGGTCATAAAAAAAAACAAANTAGCCAAACAAAAAAATATACTAGCTTATAAAAACCAGTTTTGCTTAAAAACAAGCATTTTAGGTGCTAAAAAAAAGGTCATAAAAAAAAACAAATCGATTTTTGTTCACCATGCGGTTGTTGTCATTACGAGTACTAATCAAGGTATACAAGGTCTGTCTCTTATACACATCTAGATGTGTATAAGAGACAGAATGATAGCCTTTCAAAAAAAATTAATTAAATAATTTTCATATCTTGTCTCTTGTAGGTACTTTAACTTTCTTTGTATTTTATACGCATTCACACATCAATTTTTCTTTAACATATGCATATATGCATGTACATATGTAATAAGACAATTCCAACATAATTTTCACTAATTAATAACTCCAAGTTTCACTTGGCACTGCTGCTAATTTCATATTACATATGTGTTCATAGTATTGTACATAATTAAATTTTCTTTAAAAGTTAACGAGTATTAACAATAATAAAATTAGCAAACTTCAACAATTTCTTAGTTACACTTACATATGTACTATATATGTAAATGTATATATAATGCAATGTATTAACAATTTATAAGATTCTCTTCGTTTAGTAGCTGTTTAGTACAGTACTAACGGTGCTATGGCACAAACAACATTGTCAAGTTTAGACGTCTACTAGTTTTCCCGTTATATGACATAGGCCTTTCAATATTTCATTTCATTTCGTCTTTGGTAAGGCGTATCTCGACGGTTAGCTTCGGCTTCAGCTTGTTATACATACATACATATATACCGACTTTGAACCGACGAAATTTGTAACTGTATCTAATATAAGCTCTCTAAGCTTATCTAACTGCCGCCCTACTTAGTTACGCACATCTCAGTGTATTTTTTTCCTTTGGCGTACATGAATATTTGACTAATAAATTAGTTTTTAGTTACAGATAAAATATCAACTCAATATATACAGAATTTTCAGCTAAACTCATCTACATACATATATATGTAGGGGTTTCACACGTTCATTTGAAATAAGATTCGACAATTTAAACTGTTTATGGCTACTCAACATGGAAGCGAAATTATATCCGAATTTTTCCGGTTTTTTTTTTTTAATTTTTTCGTTTAATGTTTTCGAATACCTAACCTCAAAATAATATCAACAACGATACTGAACAAGTTACATATTTTCAACAAAACGAAATTGCAATAATTTTTTTAGTTTTTTTTTTTTTGTTCACCCCTGTTTCTTATACACATCTAGATGTGTATAAGAGACAGGTTGAGATGTGTTATGTGCGAATTTATTATAATGAAAAATGTATGTATGTAGTTATGTAAATGTTAACCTCGCAGCAATAGATTCTTACCATTATCTATTAGGTGATCATAACATTGATGTATTAACAAAACACAAACGTGAGGGGATTTCCCATTAGGTTATAGTGAAGTTGTAGTTGACAAACTGAATTGTAGAGGGCGGAAATGATAAAAACAACAGACGCAGGTAGTACCGTCTACTGTTAGCTTACGGTAGCAATTATTGAAATGGCAATAAATGCATATCACCTGCTATACAATAATTGACCTGACTTTACAAAAACAAAACAAAATATTTACATTTTGGAAAACTTAATGCTAATTGTTGCAACAGCCACCTGCACGCTACTATGTAGGATGCTCCCGTCTGAAGTGTGCCAAAAGCGTCTCCTTGATGCCACAACCAAAGCCGCACAAGTGGCATTTAAATTTATTTTGTAGCAATTGTTTGCTATTTTGACGACCGTAACGTTGATATGACACCACTTCGCGTTTCGGCGCTGGCGCGCTCTCCCCTATAGCTTCAGTTAGGTTTAGATTTTTGCTCATAGTCCTTTCAGGTGTTGACACTGGCGCACAACATATAATCAGTGAATCAACAATTTGTTCATTTTCATCGCTTATATCAGCAAAGCTTTCCACAATATTGTCGATTTCCAGACAGGACACATCGGTGTTTACAGTTTCTATGAACTCAAAACTCTCAGCTGACAATTCAATACAGTCGGCAATATTTATATTGTCCACATTTTGCTCACAAAATATATAGTCCTTAGTTAAAGTTTTTGTTGTGGTTGTTGTTCTGGGTGTGGCATCCAATTGCTGATCAGCTGGCAACACAGCGCGCTGCAGCAGTCCCATTGCAACTGTATTTGATAAGAGAAAAGAAAAAAAAACAGCATGTTAGTACTTTTGTAGTTATTAAAAATATATGATTTTTTTAATTATAATTTTCACTAAAAGATTTTTTCAAATTTTTTAAATTAAAAATTCAAAAGAAATATTTTTAAAAAAAAATAAAAAATTTCTAAAAAGAATACTCTATGCAGTGTACGAACTGTCTCTTATACACATCTAGATGTGTATAAGAGACAGTCATAAAAGTATTTAAAAATATAATATAAATATTTATAGGGTTATTTTATACAAATTTTTATATATAAATTAATTTTTTTAACATACATAACATTTCTTCTGCAACCAGCATCCTGCTCATCATCCCGCGCTCACATTCACGCCCTCTCTCATCTTCGAAATAAAACACATATGCTTTTGAGTTTTTCGTTTCATTACGTTTCTTACCAATTTAAATATTTTATTCATTATTAACGGCATCATCATTCATTAAACAAATTATGCTATATATATGTATGTATATATATAAACGCTTTAATATTCATAGTTTCGTCTTATGTATTTATATTTTCTCTATTTTTATTTATTTTGTATATTTTTCGGCTATTGCATCGGTATCGGTTAACTTTCAAACGTAATTCTTGCTTTTATGTTTTCTTATGTTATTTGCTGTGTACTTCAATTTGCTGTAATTAAATACCATTTGGCATACAAGTTAACACAACAAAAACAAAACGAATTGGTTTACAATTAATTTGTATTAATATATTTATCATTCAACAAAAATAACGAAAACATAGCTACAGCATGTATGTATGTATGTATTAGTTTTTAATATAAATTGGCAAAAATATCAGTTTGGCTTTGTAAATGTATGCGCAGCCTATTCGTACACTTTTTAGTTGTTGTTCTGTTCTCTAGCGCTCTGTGGTATTACAATTCGATTTTGGTGAAAATTATAAATACGTTTTCACTACTTCTTTTCTAGCTTGTTATTTTTTTTGTTAAATTTAATCGCAGTATTATTACAGTATTATTCCACATATATATATATAACACATGTATATTATACACATCTAGATGTGTATAAGAGACAGGTTAATTAACTCCTGGGGATAATGGTAATTTTTTTTTTTTTTTTTAATTTCTCTTCTTATTTATTTATATTTTTTTTTTGGCTTCGCCACGCTTTTCTTAAACGAAATAACAGTTAAAGACTATTTTAAATTCCGCTTAACAGACGGGCAACTATTGCTATAATAAATATATCTATCCATTTGTATTGTGTATATGCATCAGTGTTTTATATATATTGTGAACATATACGTATATATGTTCCATATACATACGTCTGTGTTTTCATTTTGAATTATTTTCACGATTTTTTTGTTTTTATTTTTTTTTTAATAATTTTTTGTCTAATTTTGCCTACAAAAACATTTTCGTTTCATTTCAGTTTTTTGTTTCTTAGTCAATTAATTGCAATTATTTCAATACGTTCTAATATGGTAATATGGCAAAAATGTTCGCTTACTTCAAGCTCACAAATAACTTCTTTAGTTTATATGTATATAACAAGTTTTATATATATATTTTCTTATTTATTAGACTCTCTCTGCCGTGCGTTGACAAAACTTCTTTAATAATGATTTCTTTTTCACTTGTATATATATGTGTGTGTTTTAGATGTGTATATTCTTTTTTCTAACTTACTTGTATATTATATTATATGTACATAAAGCTATTTACATATATTTTATATGCACTCGTTGCACTTTCAACGCGCCGCTGTGGATCATGCTTAATTTTTATTTTAAAAAATAGTAAATTTAAACAATAAACCCTGTATGTTTGATAATTCACATATTATTTATTTCTTTCGCTTATACATTTTTTATTTTATATGCATTTTTTTAATTTATATATATATTTTTGTTTTATTTACTTGCTTTCTCCGTTTGACCGCGCGAAAAATGCAACAAGCGCACATAAATATATGTTTTTGCCTTTATGTACGTATGTATTTATGTATATATAAATATAAATGTATACATATTGTTCATAGAGCTATGTATGTATATGCATGTATGCATTTAATAAGTGTATACCTATGTATTTGGTTGATTTCTTTGGAGTATATTTTGTTCATTTATTTGTATATATAACTATTTTCATATATATTTATATATGTACTATATATGTATAGTTTCAACTCTACCAACAAGTTTGCTTAATTAGTTGACGAAATTCGCACAACATTATGCTATAAAATGACAACAACAACAACAATTCGGTTGCAACTCACCGCCCGCAGCACAAAAATAAAGAGTTTAACAAGGCATATGTATGTACATATATATGTAACATTTAAGGAAATGAAATAATTTAAAACTAAATAAAAATTATAAGAATA